TGGGGATCGCCCATCTTAGATCGCTAGATCCAGCCGTGGGATAGCGTGCTTGGCGATAATATCAATGTGATACAGATGCTCAGTCCCTCCGAGGCAGCGAATCCCATTGTTCCGTGCTGTCCCCCTCGCATTGTGGCGTCCCTCAGCTATGGCGAATACCTTGTTTGGTACATTGGCAGGCCCGCAACCCATGAAAAGCAGGGTGTTCGCCTCAACTCGGGCTGCCTCTGTTCCTCCCCGTCTTCTTTGCTTCTCTTCTTCATCTTGTCGATCTTTCGATACCGTCTGTGCTCCAGTGCCCCCGGACCAGACCGAGTTCGCTAGACGTTGCGACTAGCCCGCGCTAGATGAGAGATGGCCCAATCAGAGGAGTACCGTTTTGTCTTGGATTTTGCGATCTTCACGACTCAATCTCACCCAGGAAAAGCGAGATGGGGTGCCTTGCATGCGTCAAGTTTTGGAATCTTAGTACTTAACAATGACTTAGTCTGAGAAGTCCGAGTCAAACAGCCTGCTCGAAGCCCCACGAGATCCCCTCATCCAAACGGCATGCATACTTGCTTACTTCATTGGGATGGCTACGTCCTCGACCTGCTGAATGTGCATTAGCGTTGGGATTGACGGCAATAGACGTCTGTTGATCTTTCCTTAAAGCTCCAACTTTTCTCAACGACCGGTTGGCACCGTCAGCCTCTTTGAGACACGGCATTTACGCAGACGAATGAACAAATATGAAATGGGATCGCTATCCTCCTATGCAGTCCCGGCTGGCTTAGAGGCCCTCAAGCCCTTTCGCGCTCGTGTGTGGATGACGGAACCACGTGGTTGCACGTATAGAGAAAGCAGATGTAAGTCAAGAACTCCAAACTTACGCATAGATGAATGTATTCCTCGCACATGGGATCAAGTCTCTTATCATCAACTCATGCCGCACAGTCATGATTCAGAATACTCATCTCGTAGAAATCGGGCCCAGAGCGCTAGAGCAAGCCGATGCAACCAGATTCAAGTTCATCCCAAATCCAGAGACTTGGGACCCCAGAGCATTCAGGGGCCCTTGCAAGATGCACAGGCTTGGGCAGATCCCGGGCATGCGGCTGTCTCCCCCGGTCGATACAAAAAATGATTCCATAGAAGTCATCAAATTCAATCGTGCCAAGTCACTCAGTGTCACTAGTCTCGAGTGTCATGTCTTATTTCTTAGATCCGGTAAACCATTCCTCACCTTGGAATCGGCATTTCAAGAGCCCGTGCATCTGGATAACGATTACGATCGTCGCTGTCAGCTCGGATCCCAGTCTAGACCACAGCAAGAAGCCCTGCATGATTCTGCGAAGACTTCAAGATGGCTTCATGTGACCAAATCTCCTTCAACGCTTGGTGACTTAATTGAGGCCTCAAGTACCTTCAATTTTGCCCAAAGACGACGAAATGGTGTCCTGTTTTGGCCCAGGACCCTTCTCTCGCAAGGTTTGACAGGAAGGGAAACTAACCTGCGCCACCATGCGTTCTACTGCCGACGCCTCTTCGAACAAAGACGGCACCCAAGCATCCGTTGACCGTTCCAAATGCCAAGAAACCGGCCAATCGTCTGTCATTGTAGCAGCCGGCTGCGCAGATAAACAATACCAGTCGAAAGTTCGCGGCTCAAGCGCAATTCTAGTTCGCCGTTCGACTGACCACAAAGGGCCTCGGGCCGGTAATATTCAATGATGGCGCAGGGGTGGCATCAGTGGAAAGTACTACGTTGCGTATCTTTGCCACGCTATTCGTCGCCGATCCTCATGGTGTTGTGATGTTCCGAACAATGATACGCCTCAAGCCATGCTGTAAGACCGGCAGCTATGACAGCGCCACATACGAAAGGCATCTAAGCATCGCCAATGCCTCTCCTGATTACAGATATCCAGGCCTAGTCTAAAGATGATTTGAGCGTCAGGTTCCAGTAAATGTCTTGATTGAGCGCCTGAAGAACATCCAAGTCTATCTGTCTTCAAGACGTGATGCTACAGGTTCATATCCAGTACATTTTGTCGATCCTAGGTACCTACTCACAAAGGAGCCTAACGTGAAGTCGAAAGTATACATTCACCTTGACTCTATGGAGCCAAATGTCATGGCTTCTTGGCTGCTCCCAACGTTGGCTCATTGCACCATGCTTCCTCCGTTGTTGGACCGATTGAGAATATTGAGGAGGATTGATTTTTCTCGTGACAAGCATTCTCGTTTCAAAACAGAGTCATTTGAATGCCCCAGTATATCAACAGTAACTGTTCCTGGGCCTTGGTGATTTGATGCAGAATATGCCAAGTTGCGCTTGCTGTAAGCTCCATCAGGGTCTGTTGGTGGATTCAAAGGTACTGCAAATCGTATCTAACCATAAAACAGTTACCCCTTGGGAGCACCATCAGGCCATTTGTTCCTGTGATAGTTTGAAACTCTTGGAGTTCTCCGTAAAGACACCTGGGATAATATTGCAGACAGCAAGTGACGTTTTTTATAGTCGTGGCCTTCATAGGCTCAGATTGCTAGGAACATCCACAAGTTTCGTATCTATATCCTGTCACATGCCGTTGTCGTGAGATTACAACTTTGGGTGTAAAAGTCTCTCAGAGTCCGAAAGGGGATCAGATACCGGTGCATGACTGCAAGTTGTAAATGTTAGGTACTTTAGACAGCTCATTACTCTTCTGCAGCCCCGGACCATACTAGCCAGACTAGAAGAAGCAATCGTCAAAATAAAGGAGGCAGTCCGTGTCGAGGCAGTCGGCAATCATTGACAAAATCTTGAACCCGATCCTCTTTACATAGACCGTTCGATTTTCGCTAGAAGTTGCATTTCATCAAGCCCAAACTTCGGTTCATCGCAGGAGCTGAACCATCTTCGTCGCGATAATCTCTTTCTCCCCCAGATCAAAAGTTCCAATGAATCGAAGATTCCGGTAAAAGCTTCTCTAGCGAGGCACAAGCAAATGTTAAACGCTTACTCTCCAGCTCGCTTCCCGAATGTCTCTGAATCGACTGTTGTGGCTGTTAGCCTGTGCCGTCTTCGGGATGCCTCACTTACCATTCTCTCAGGCCGACGAGCGCCACATTTCGCCTGCCACGGATTCTTCGTGTCTTCAAAACCATGTGGCCGCAGTCGTACGAGCACGTGGCACCGACCCCTGAGGGGCTGAACGGTTTCCTTCCAGAACTTCTTCCGTGGAGAGCTTAGCAGAACGGGTACACGAGAACTCCTTCGGTTGCCCTTGGAGTTATCTTGCGAGAAAGAGGCTTGATCCCCTCCTTGCTTCTCTTTGCTGCGTTGTGTAGTTGTGGCTTGGTGGGCAGTGGTCTGACGGTCCGACGGATGATGCTTGGCTTGAAGCTTGGTCGCACCTGTATGTTGTGTACGACGCTGAAGGACCTCATGTCTCAGGGCAAGGTCTGGGGCTTCGGGCAGAGAAAGGGAAAGAGAATGGGCAATCGACGATGGTCTCTGTTGAGCCGTTTGTTTTTGTTTTTCCAATAAGGCTAATCATGTGTCTCCTACTGCTCAGACCATTTTCGGTCTCCCCGATTGGACAGACGGAGTGTCTACTGTCTCGACAGATGGAAGATTGAAGGTGTCACGACATGGAAGGTGGGATACCGAAACTTTCCGTGCCGCTTCGTGGTGAATCACGATCTTCCGGCCGAGATGACGCTCGCGTTCCTGGCACGTCGCTCAGCTGGAAGTTCGATGCCTTTCGCGCCTGAAGTTTATTGACTCGAGTGCTGTCGTCCCACGTCGCTCTGCCAAGGTGTCACTATTCTAGTGTATCGATGGGGGCCACAGTTGAACTTCCAGACACGTCAGAATGATCGTCAGGGGGAGGCAATAGAATTCTTCTGCCAAGCGTAACTGTTTCGAGATATATAGACTTTGTATCTCGCAGCGTTTCCCTGGTGTGTATACTGTTCACAGCCTTGGCTGTTCTACGAACAGCGTTGGATTTACGTGAACACTGCGCACACTATTCATGGCATCCCGCGGAATCGCAAGCCTATGAAGGTAACAACTGTAGAGGCACGGCAGGTAATAGACCGGGCAGAATTGATAGATCATCATATCGATGCAATCGCCCTTCGTACCCGGACCCAAACCATGCAATCCATGTCGGACACAGAAATGTAGCTAGCCGCGGGACAGATTAGGTCGACCCCGGGCACCGGCTTCCGGACATAGCAACACGGCACCACGAGTCTACAACAGCCCTTGTTCCATCGAATCGCGTATCCTTCCGAAAGTCAAACAACTGGTTCCAAGATGTTGGTCGAAATGCAGGTCTGCCCGAGCTTCCCAATTCCCCTTGCCCCTCCCCGGGTGCGCAAAGGTACATGTAGCTCCGAGCGCAGGTCTCGGACGGAGAACGAGACCAATATTTCCTTCTTGTCAATGTTCGACGGCGTCGATGCGCAGCTGCACTATGCCGCGCGTGCGTCTTCAGCGGGAGGAGGAGCGAGAACTGTACTTCGGACAGCTGTTCGGGCTCGAATGCTTCGTGCGCGCGAGGATCCTGTTTCTCGAAGAGGAGGGGCCCGATAGGTGGGTGCGTGCCGGGTTGTCTTTGCAGGTGATGCTGAGACATTACAACGTGGGAAGAGTCCCACGGGAGCCAGGTGTGAGGGGCAAGGCTTTGATGCTCCGAAGATGTTGACATTTTTGTAGACGGGTGGTGCCTTTTACGAAGATTCGGGAGCACTTTCCCACGGAGAAAGAGATCTTCTGCTCAAGAGGAGGAAACGATCTATCTTGCTCTCTAGACGAAACATACCCTATGAACATCACCTAAAGAGAAGACTCAACTTCCAAGTCAACCTCTAAGTTCTTCGCTTTTCTAGCAGTCACATGTTGATATGCAGTCCTTACGCAATAGCCTGCCGTACTGCGAGGGGAAGGGAAAAACTAGCATGGAAACCACTAGTGCAGTGCAACATCACAAGTCGTACTTGTGCTCGTACACTTGACACTTTTCATGGGGCCGCACAAGAAGCCATGCGGTGTTGCGATACTGAAGCGGTTCCTTGGATTCGTCGGGCAGCCTCCTCGAGAAAGTATGTGCCACCGGTGGCGTATCGAGGCCTTGGCTAGACGTGACTTTTTTTTGAGTATCTTGTCGGTGAATTTTGTTGTCATGGATAGAAGTGAGCGGTGGATTGAGCTGACGATGGGAAGGAGATTCATGCGGGCGAGAAAGGAGTATAAAGAGGGGCTCGAATCTCACGAGTTGGTGATCGGAAGATGGAGAGACATCATAGACATCACTTGGATCATCATCTTCCCAAGCAATAACTGCAGATCGATACTCATACTCTTACCTTCAGACACTCAACAAGAATCAGCAATACCTAGTTCAAGGTATTCAGCTATTCTCAAACAAGGGTATCTTTCAGATACCTTACGAAAGACAAGATGGGCAAGCATACCTCCAAGCAGTCTTCCTCGAAGTCTAAGAGTAGAATCTCCCCGACCCTCAAAACTAAGAGACCATAGCTAACTGAATCCACTACCGGCCAGGCTCCGGCACCAGGGCACCCAACGGGCAGAGCTCCTCCTCGTCTAGCACCGTCCCGGTTGACCGATCGCTCGGCAGGAGCCAGACAACAACAACGACCATGGAGGCTCACGACAGTCCGATGGGTATGTGGCTAACGCAGCCGTTCCATCAGGAGCCATACCACAACATCGCCGCGGTGTCGGCGGACGGATCGGCGGCGGGGCAGGCTGACGGACGTCAGGGGCCCGGGGCATCGGCGACGTACGCCTCATCCCGGCCGCAGCAGCAGCAGCAGCAGCAGCCGCGCTGAAGTACCTACTGCATGGTCCTTCAAGAGATCTTAGTCTAGTTAAGGGACTGTTCTAGTTCGTTTTCGTTAGAAAAGTCTCGTTATTGGATTAACGTCGCCTATGTTCTCTTCTGTCACCACTTTGCACTTCAAAGATAGACTTAGATGCACTTTGCAATCAACATCTTCTCCCGTGCCTAATCGGAAGAGCCTCTCGATTCTCTACCCCGCGCATCATCGTGGAGATGAAGGGGTCCAGAATCCGTGCGCACAATGTCAGAAGACGCAGAGGGCTATGACTGACTTGGTGTCATGGCTTGGCGATGAAGTTGGGATGTGGCTTGGGAAGAAGCCAGTGGATTCGGGCTAAAGTTTCATGAGGCTGATGAGGAACTCTGAGAGATTGGGGCTAAGGTGGCTGAGAATGGCGCGCTTTGATTAGTGCCATCAGCCCCGACTCGATGCAGCGTAAAGTTGCTGTTGAGCAACAAGTCCTCATAATACCTACTACTCCGTCCGAACATGTAAATCTGACATCGCCCCCAACAACGAACATTGAAGACAGAGTTCCGAAGCCTTGGTACCTAATTCTCTTCTTCGGGACCCGCGAACGCAAAGTGCCAAGGGAATCTTCGTATTTGCTTTTTTCGGTTCTTCCCCTGCCTGGCCCATCTCTTGGCTGTTGGCCCTATTCGGCACTCGTTCTCTCGGACGCATCCGGGCAAGCGTGCCGAGCCCAACGGCGCAGCTTGGCAAGGCCTCCCAAGGACCCAAAGCACAGATGGAGACGTCATGCAAGTTGCACAGTCACTTGCCGCTGTCCCCCGCGGGCTGCAAGCAGGCGGCCAAGAGGCTTAGGAAGCACTTGAGAACTCTCTTGAGAGAGGCTGGAAAGAAGATACGGAATGTTGGGGAGGATTGTAGTTGAGTGAATACCCGGGCAACCCTGACGGTGTGCGTGATGTCCCGATGCGTGTGTATGTGTGTGTGTGACTTGTGAATTCGATAGTCTGGAGTTTGAGTATCAAGTTTGGACTTTTGGCGAGATTGAAGAGTTGCAGCGGTGGTCGTAAGCTGACTGAGAGCCGAATTATTTTTGGGGATGGGCGTCCCTTTGTCCGGGGTTCAATTTCCCTATTCTCCCATGCTCGCTTGTTGACAGCTCGACTTATGTCAGCGGCACAAGTCGACGAGATAAAGTCAGCAAGATACGTACCCTCTCACCCTCTGCACAGATTTGCTTAGGCTCATTCTCACTCTCACTCTCATTCTCAATCTAGTTCACCTTACCTCTCACCTGACTCTCAAGAGTCTCAATCGTCTCAAACATCTGAATTGCTTTACTGGTCCAGGCTAGCCTATGTTCACCCTTCCCTGCCGGCTAGGGACAGCAAAAAGCATAAGCATAAAAGCAGAAATGAGACGGACAACCTACATGACGTCAAACACTCCAAATCAGAAGGCCGCCATCCTCAGTAAGCTTTGACCGAAATTAATTGGCAGCGGACGATGGGCACTGTTTTTGGTTTCACACACAAATGAGTTTTCTGTTTAGTGTTCGCGGTTGCTTGTGTTCCCCAGGTTCAAGCCCCCTCAAAGCGAGCCAAACCTAGCGCGACCATCGAGTCTACAGTGGAGGGAAGGGAAAATCCTTCGAGGTAACAGATCTCTCTATGATGTGCACTAACTGCCCATGTTTTGCGTTGAGATCGCTTCGCTTCGTCTTCCATCATCGGCCCCCTTCTCCACGTGTATACTCCTTCGTTCTCTGTCGAGAGAGGGTCAAGAGCCCACCCCTTTTGCGCCTCAGTTTCAGTGTTCTTTTGAGTGTTCCGGCAGGGAGGACGGCGTGGACGGCACCAGGGACAACACTGTATGAATAAATGTGTGCGGTAGTTGGAGGGTGGAGAAGGGGCTTCAAGGGGCGATGAATTTGTTTATTTGCAAGGGGGCAGCAAGGGAAAGGAGACGAAGAGCGGAAGACAACTGCAACACAGCGACGAGAATGTCACTGAATGATTGACTGAGAAGTGTTTGCAGCATGCGCTGATCGCTGGATGCAGGGCCGGTGAGACAGAGAAACGACTGTTTGGGTCCCAGGAAGACCCTCTCTCGAAGTCTTCTCTCAGTCCTCGCCCAGTCAATCAATCACTCTCTGACTTCCCGCTCCCGCTTTCTGCAGAGTTCCCAATTCATTTGTTCTCGACCAGTCCACTTCGTCCCTGACGAGCTTTCCTCCACAAAATTCCTGCAGAAAGATTGGAAAACGAATGACTAGATGGGCATAGCGCGCCCCTCCTCACGCGTAACCCAGCCACCCCCTGCACCATTTGACTCTTTCCGTCCTTCCGTCTTGTCACTATGGAGTCTATTGTCTCGAGTAAGAGACGGAGAGAAGGAAACCAAAACGGAGAGCTAAACGCTATAACGGTTGACAGCGCTGAGAGCAGCTAGGTAGGAGCTGGAGGTTGGCGCACCTTTTCAGCTTTTGTTATTGACGCCTCGTGCAACACGCGCGACACCTTTGTTGACCGGGACCTTTGTTCCCTTCCTAGACACCTAGATTGTGTCGAGCAAGGTATTGTCCGCGTCTTTGCAACCACAAAGAAGGGTCTGGTGGCAGGGAACGCAGTTGACAGGACAGCAAGCCATGAGAACGCCCTGTGCCGCAGAGGTGCCGTGATGGTGTCTTCGATAGCCAAGCCTCGTCCTTTTCTCAGATGGCTGGCTCTGCCGTAGAGATGTGCCCAGCTCGCTCGGCCGGCCCGGGTAGCTCGACTCTTTAGCTCGCTGGCGCTGCACCGCCCGGTTTGTGCTCTTCCATCATTGATATTGGGGGCCAATGGGGCCAATCAGTCAGAGACATACGCGGCAGGGCCAGTGAGTTGACGAGCATCACGGACTCCCGTGTTGCGTGCAGCAGGCTGCATAAGTGTCAGCAAAACGATGTCTGGATACGTGAGAGCGAGAATTGCGACCAGAGCAAGATAGAGTCCGAGGACCGCTGACAACAAGTTGAAGAGAAGAAAAAGACTGCAGTTGTGACCGAGCCTTCCGAGCTACGGCGGGACAATTCCCAATGCAGATTCCACCATTCGGGCTCCCATGAACACGGTACTCCGTACAGAATACGGAACCCGGTAGAGGAGGGGAGCCATAACCTAAACCTGAAGATGCAGCAATCCTTGTCCCGCCCTCGATCAGGGACCGGACTGCTCTTCGCAGCTCGCTAGAGGGGAAACGCTGGTCAAGCTGGAACCCCGGACCCAGTTTCTGACCCAGCCAGTGGCCACTGGTCCGTCGAGTTGATGAGGAGCCCGTCGTTCCCGCAGCGCTTCCCATGCTTTCAGCGTAGCAAGGCCCCGGTGATCGTTAGTGTTTCCCCTCTTGGGCCCGTCGACAGTGTGTGTTGTCACTGTGGCTAGTGCCAAGTTTGTGTTCGTTGTCGGGAGTGTCGTGCTGTGCTACATACATAGTGAATGCTGAGATGCAGAAATGGTGGTGCCGTGTACGATGGATGAATGGAGGATGGGGGGATGCAGGCGCTGTTTAGCCGTTTGCTGGGGCTGGCGCTTCTGCGTCGGCAGGCCAGGACAGGCCGGGAAATGTACTTGCGCACACACCTTGAAAGTGGTGGCAACGAAGGTACCGCCCCTGGGTCGTACCATCCCATCGATCCATCGCCCGTCCTTGGTCGGGTGTCTTACCGCGCATTTCTTGCTTTTTCGCCCTGTCGATTTCTCCCAATTGCCCATGTTCCATCGGCTCTGCCATCCAAATTCAGTCCCGTCATCAATCATCCGTTTCCCTCATCTTGTCTCCTTCTCACCACCTTTCCTCCCTTCCACTTCCTTTTCCTGTTCGTCACCTTCACTTTCGCCAAATATCCGACACAATTGAACAAACCACAGCCAACCCGGCTTCAGTCTCCTTCTCCTCTCCCGTCCTCTTCCCTTCTCTCCTCCATCTCCCCACACACTCGCTTCGTCACTGCAACAAGGAGAAGCCTCGAATCCAGTATCAGCCGTGCTGACCGACATCGTCAAGCTTCACGCACTCGACGTTCGCTTCCCGATTATCGTCACTCGCTTGTACCACCTCGCCCCTGGCCGACCGACGTACAATCGACGAAGGGTCCAGATCAAAGTCCACTGAAACGCCGCTTCCCAGGACCCGTCCTACGTATACGAGAATCTCGCTTCCTCCAAACACCTACGCTCCATCCTCCGAAGCCCGAGCCGACCGAGCGCTGGTGATAAACACCCGCAATTGTCAGAATCCACGCTTCCTCGACGTCACAAACCGGAACACGAAAAATCATCAGAAGGACTTCCATCCGCACGGAATCTCTTCCGGAATCTCTTCCGGAAATTTTCAGAACTTGGCTTTCGTGCATCGAAACGCACATTACGACGTTTGAAGCAATCTGTGCGGCAGAACCTGGGACGGCAGCTGGACCTGGCTCAACCTCGACCGACTTGGGACGAAAACCACACGCTGACGTGCATATCCGCCAACGGCATTATTCACAACTCGGGATTTTTTTTGCTGTGACCAAATTCAATCTGCGAATTCACCGCTGCCAACTGTGCATCGCATTCCTCTCCGGCCGCCAATCTTCTGGGCTTGACTCGCTGGATTGTGGCTCAATTTCGCACTCGTGCCACCCGACGTGTCTTGGACCACCGCAATAAGGAGGGAATACCTACCATCGATTGCTTTCAACGTCTCCGCATTCCAACGACTTGTTTTTGGCCGCAACGACTGACAAGTTGCCTACTTCTCTCCGAATTCCTTCTTCTTTTTCCATCTCCAACGCTCCATCCGTTCCCTTACTCTTCAGCAAATCGCCAACACCGTCAAGATGTGTAAGTGACAATTCCGCAATCTTGGACGATAAATCCCTAACTAAACATGATGCAGCTGGCCTTTCAACAACGATTATGCCCTTTGCGCAGTTGCCCGCGTGCGCTGTGAACTGTGGCCCCCTATACGACGCCAACGGCGCCTGTGTTCCTCCT